GCATGCATATAATGTCTGCCCTCCAGTTCTGCACTTGACTTTTTATGATCTCCCTTTTCTTCTAGTCGTTTAAACCCCTTACATTCTAGGAAATTACTTTGATCTTCATATTAAAATGATTGATAGATCTCTTCCCCTACTCCTTTTCCCGTCACTCTTGAATTTGACATCAAACGAAGTTAAACCTTTTAATTTCAGTGATCCTTTGAATCTTTGTTTCTTCACCTCCAACTCTGTCTCCACTCTTCTAACCTGTCTGCAACTGTCAATTTGCATTAACAACTCTAATGCTTCTTCTTCATGGCCTTGAAAATCTACTCCAAACATTTTCCCCAATTTGATCATATTTTGATGGACTCATAGTGTTGCGTCCATGTCTTTATCCATTAAAGGATTGTGTTGTTGAACTGCTATAGGATTCACCTCCTCGATTTCCCAATCTTGGATAGAGCTAAAGTGATTTAGTTGTTCCAAAACTCTTCCAACTTGATCTTCCCCATATTTGTGTTTATGCTCTGCTCCCCTGCCTTCAGTTCCAGTCTTGCTATCTTTGCTCCACCTTCTGGCTGACTACAGCTGTTGAATGTTGCCTTTGTCATACTTTCAAGGTTTTCATTGGGGATTGGATCCCCTGGAGTGGACTCTTTTTCCCCCAGGTAAGAAGGTCCTCCCATTTCCTCAATACAAGGCTTCAGCCTAATTCAGCTTAATATCATCAGAAAACTCACACGAGAGATCATTAAAAATGACTTGTGCAGCCAAGTCGGAGTCATAGGATTTCACTCGTTGTTTGTCGCTTTACTGCTCTGATTCGAACTCGAACCTTGTGTAAGTTGCACACTTGCCTTTCCTTTTATCAGTGTTTTGCAATATGGTGCACCCCACTTGATTGTTCAAATATCTCTCTATTTCAAAACATTGTTCGTTTTCTTGCATATTCAGCTCATATCTTGTCTGTCTTTCAGCCCAGATTGGGATGAAAAATTTGATACGATCTCTTACAATCCCAACCTCATTGGGAGTCTTTCTGCCATCACCAACAATTTTAATTCTTGCCCACTTAAGATGATTTTTGAGATCAGTTTCTTCTTCAGTAGCTATCCATCCCCCACAGAGATCTCCTATTTCTTTGAAGATCTTTTGTGACCATAGATGTAAAGGAATCCCCATGGCTCTAATCCAGCATGTTTCCTCGATTTGTGAGTTTGGAATGCATCCAGCAGTATGACTCCACCATTCCAGATGAAGCTTGAACTTTTTCCAACTCCATTCTCCTTGCATAATCTGCTCCGCCATGAATCTGTTTGGAAATTCAAAAAGAAACATGTTGCCTGTCATTTCATACATGTTTACTCCATATGCTTTGTTTCATGACGCACTAGCCCATCGCCTTATGTCTGCTAAAGTGGGTCTCTCATTGATTTCTTTCCCAAAAAACCCGACAATGCATCTTTTTAGTAAACCAGAATCCTTGCTACCTGTCGGTTCCACAACAGAGATATCTCCATTGTTTATGCTGACCTTTGCCTCTCGAAGGGTATTAGATTGCCATTTACTCTCCTTGATTGCTTTGACATAAGGGTAGTTGTCCACAGTGATTCTAGGTGGGGCTGTGGGATTCATTTTGGGGGTCTGATGTATGAATCTTTCTATCTTAGCTGCTATGTCTTTCCAACCTGCATTCAAGGCTAACTCTGGAATTATAATAACAGACCTCCCTTCTCCCTTCAGTGACAGAATGCTCATGTATCTTCCATGAACGTTGAATTTCCTGGTACAGAAATGTTCTGTCATATGTTCCTTGTACTTCCATCGCTTCACTAAATTCATTTGATCTGTCGACGCTTCTTTAAGTACAAAACAAATCCATTCCATTACCTTTCTGCCCATGGATGAACGTCTCATCATGCTGCGGCTTCTCTCCACCCATTCGAACCATACCTCTTTGTTGGAATTCCATCTGGTGATGTCAAAAGATTTGAATCCTGCGTTAGAAATAAATCCGGTTGTCTCCCATATTGTACAACCCAGCTGTTCAGGTTATGGAAATTATAAGGAGTATTTGATGGTCATCACAGTTGAGCTGTTGAGGTAAAAGAAACTGAAAATTGGGCCAAAACAGAGGTTTCCCGCTCCCGGAAAAATAAAAGTCGTCGGAAATCTGAAAAAATTGTACCAATCTGGTCGGAATTTGCAGTAAAGGAAGTTGTCCCAAAAAAAAATTTGAAAAGCTGCCGGAATTTGGCTCACGCGCCCGGCGCGTGTGGGAAGGTCGCCGGAAAGGGCCGCGCGTGGCGGCACGTGGAGGCTGCTTCGTCGGAAAAGATTCAGTGGAGTGGTCGGAATCTCGGGGGTTGTCTAATGGTGTTCATGGAAAGCTAAAAATTCTTCTACTCAGGCTCCTCGGGGAGTGTGCCTGAGAGCTCGAAAGAAATTGGAATTTTTAATGCATATAACTTATTTTCGATAGTAAAGGGATATATATGACCCTTTTCTGTTCTTTATTCTGTTTTCAACTTTATCAACTTTAATGATTACCATTGTAATTTGTATACTACCTGGATTTTCAGGTATTGAAATGGCTAGTGCACTAACCATTACCACATTAAGACATTTGACAATTATATTTTTATGCCACTGGGAAACTCATCCATCACGTTCCCATAAAGAACCACCCTAGGCTTGTTTTTCGACATAAAAAAGAGAGAGAATGTGTTGGAAAGACCGACAATCTAAACTGATCTCTAAGATAACACTTTCACATAGTTTGTCAGGTAACTTAAGCCTTTTGAAATCCACGGTATACCACTAGTCTACGTTTCATGTAAATCAATCTCTTCTATGGTCCTTAGTGAAGCATCTTCTTATAGGCATATATGATAAAACTACCATTAAGCTAGATGCTCAAATGGCTTGCCAATAATATAAGAATATTAGTTTTTTGTTGTTTGGCAGTGCTCCGTAATGACATTAGATAACCTCTTTGATGTTTGCTATCTTTGCCAATTAAATAGAAGGGTTAGGATGCTCTTTTTACCCTTTTCTTTTTCATTGATTGTTTAAGGCATTCTTTATCAACTTTGACAAAGTTGGAAACAAACTTTATTGCAAGGATGTGACTGTATCGAGTATTTTGTTGCTAATAGCTATTGACATGTTGCCTTAATATATTAGAACATAGTAGCGTTATATTTTTAATCAAAAGTTCCTTTCAGGTACAAGCTTCAAACGAGTGTCCTGAATAGTACTGATCTTATTTGATTGTTACTTTAGGGTCATGAAGCAATGCAGGCTGCAGCTCATAGGAAGCTCTACCAATGAATTGAAGGAAGGTTTGATTGAGATATATTATTATTTTTAATTATTTTTGGAGTCGAAAACACTTCTAATACTAATATGGTTTTACACTGGTGTGTTGTTGATGAATGTTATATAATGCATTGGAGATGATACTATTATTAAAAGAAAGGCCACGTTTAAAATGGTTGTGTAAGATCTCCAACATCGAAGCGCATGATGAAGTTTATGTTGTTGTCAAGCTTAGCAGTGAAGAGGATAAAAAATATAATCATTCACCATGTCAATAAATTCATTGTCCGTGGCCTTTACTCTCATATTTAAGAGTATATTGAAATTGCAATTTGATGTTAATATATTGTTATCAAGTAAAGTTTTCAAAGGTAAAGTTTTCAAAGGTATATTTACTTTTGTTTAGGATCCAGATTTCAATAATTAACAAGTCATATATGTAGACAAGAGTTTCAGGATGATTTCAATGCTCACTTTCAGTTTTCCTTTTTGAAGATAATCACTTCAATAGTTAAATAGTTACCTTTGCAAATTCTCATCCACAATATGGTTGAGGAATAATAAGAGGGACATCGATAGCGATGATATGAGCTCAACAAGATAAACAGAAGCTAAAGATGATTCAGCACCTGAATGATACAAAGCAAGGAATTTGTCTTCTCTATTTTGACCAAAATAGTTGTCCCCTTAATATTACTGTACAAGCAGGCAAGCAGCATTTACCTGCAAAAGACGAGGGTCTTTTTCATGTTGGAACAACAATGGGACATTAGCAAAGTACTGGCATGGATGCAGGGCTTACAGAAGACGCGATGAAGCGCAGCCACGGCTACAAATAAGGATGGTTGGGCCTGAGCACCCTTTTTTCTCTTTTCCAGGAGACACAATTACCCACTGTTATGAAGAAATGCAACAGGAGTTGGAAATAAAAGCAATCAGAACCAAACTCCAGTTGAAGAGATTAGTAGATAAGAGGAAGAGTAAGTTTTAAATTTCATAAAGAACCCCCCTCCAGGAAGAGTCAAACCCAGTACCATGAAGTCCTTGAGGTCTGAGCTTTGTCACTCAAGCTACGCCTGATTGGAGGCGTTTCAAGGTATTTTAAGAGCCTAAAGTCTGAAATAACAAACAAGTGGGACCGGGAGCGAGAAATAGTCAAGATAATCATGCATCACTTCGGAAAAAACTTCTCCTTCATTTCATTTTATATGATGGTATTTGAATGATGATGGATTTTAAGAAAGAAAGAAAAAGAACATGCCATGGCATTCTATAAGAAATAAGAACATGTCATTACAGGAAAAATGGAAAGGTAAAACGACAGAGCTACCCCGAAACAGAAAGAATGTCGATCTTTTGAGATTGACCAAAAAGGAAAAATCCCTTGTGTAAATGGGAAGGAAGGAATACTTGATTGCAGCGGAAAGAACGATAGGATAAAATAATTAGTCTTTAACTACTTATTAACTGAGCAGCAAGGCTTCTAGCCTGCATTAGAAACTGGAGCCTCCTGTCATCATCATGTTCTTCAAGAAGTGCGAAGTTTAGGTTCAGAAAGAACTCCCTGTAAAGCTCGCCCATATCATCTAAGTGTTCAACTCTTCCAGCAGACAAGCAATCAGGTTCTAAGACATACTCCACTGGTTCAGATACCTTACAACCATCTTTGCTATAACTTATGGAAGAGCTCCTTCTAGTTCGATTTTGCGTTGTGTAGTTAGAGACTGCTGCTTCTAGTCTTCCAGCTATTACGATGGCTCGTTGAATACACATAACCGGCAGCTGAAACCAACCAGAACTATGAGATAAATGATGAATGTTTGAATAGACCAATGGAAATGACCGGACTACAAAGCAAACCATATTGACCCTGGCAATGGAGAAAAACTGAAAAAGACTGGAGCATCAGCGACCCAAAAACTTTAGCTAGTGGCTCTCCTTTCAAATTTAGATTTTTAGAGTGGATTCCAAGTTCTCTAGCATATTAGATTTACTATCAGGCTTCATTGAGAATGTCTTCTACTGGACCAGTCCAAAGAGGAACCATGAATTCAGGCTAACTTACTTGTGCAAGCTGAGCAACTTTAAAACCAAAACTTCTCTCGCAGACCCCTGGTGCAAGTTTGTAAAGGTAGGTGATGTCTTCACTATTGATGTGATCCATCTTCTCATTTGACTTGAAATCCCCATTCACTTCTCTTTGGGATGTCAGATATGACACATGGTATGGTCCCACGGAGCCTGGATATTCATTCTTGATACTGACAATTTCAGGGTAATGGGTGACAAATAGAATCATGCATTTCTTGTGTTCTAGGAGATACTGAAGTGTTGCATAAGCAATTGCTACGCCGTCATGTGTACTGGTGCCTCTCCCAAGCTCATCAAGTATAACCAATGAGCTGGCTGAGCATTTTTTCAGTATATCAGAAGCCTCGCTGAGTTCTTCTAAGAATGTACTTCTTCCTTGCTGTATACTGTCGGATGCACCCATGCGAGTATATATGCCATCTAGCACTTGCAGTTTTGCAGAGAACGCTGGAACAAAGGATCCAACCTAGAGGAATCCAGAAAAAACACCTTTATCAAACCATAGTGTTGTTGATCTTCAGTAAACAAGATATGCACCAGCAAGCCATCACTAAGACTGCTTTCGTTTGGACTTATTTTCCAATTAGACATTTAGCTAGCGTTTGGCCATAGATTCCCAAATTTGTTTTGAAAAATTTGATTTGGGTGAAATTTGGTTCGAAGATGAAAATGTGTTGGGACATAAGTTTTCAAAACATGTTCCACTTTTTTTTTCGAAAAAACATGAAACATGACTTATACCCACAAGTTCTAAAAACTATCACATATACCCAACAGTAACTTCATCAGTAATATTCATTATCATTATCACAAACCATAGTCCTGAACGTAAATAAATTTGGTACAAAATTATCATTTTTATAATGAACTACGCAAGACACTATCAGATGACCGAGAAGACGAAGCATCATTGTTACAAAATAATAAATGGTAGGTTCTTTTATAAAATACAGAAGTTTGGGGCATCCAGCAGATGAAAGTAGTAGAAATGAGGATGTTGAGATGGATGTGTGCACATACTAGGTTGGATAGAATTAGGAATGAAGTTATTCGGGACAAAGTGGGAGTGGCCCCTGTGAAGGCAAAGATGCATGAGGCAAGGTTGAGATGGTTCGAGCATGTTAAGAGGAGAAGCACAGATGCCCCAGTCAGGAGATGTGAGAGGTTGGCCTTGGGAGGTGAGAGGAGGGGTAGAGGTAGGCCAAAGAAGTCTTGGGAAGAGGTGATCAGGCGAGACATGGCGCAACTTGAGCTGACCGAGGACATGACCCTAAATAGAAGGGTGTGGAGGTTGAAGATTAGGGTAGAAGGTTAGTAGGTAGTCGTGCGTTTCCCTTTGTCTTCTCTAGTTCGATAGTATTAGTGCTAGTATGGTATCCTTTTTTTCCTTAGTTTGCTATATTCGCATGTCTTGTTCTGTTATTACTTGCCATCGGTAATTCCGTAGTTTGCTAGCAGTACTTCGTTCATATTCTCGTGTGCTGCCTTGGATTTATTTTTTCTAAATATACTATCTTGCTATCACTTGTTATCGGTACCCCATTCATATTCTCTGTTGCTATCTTCGATTTAGTTTTCTAATTATTTATCTTGCTATTACTTGCTATCAGGGCTTCCTTCACCTTCTTTAGCCGAGGGTCTATCGGAAACAGTCTCTCTGTCCTTCCAGGGTAGGGGTAAGGCTGCGTACATCCCACCCTCCCCAGACCCCACTTGTGGGATTATTTTGGGTGGTGGTTGTTGTTGTTACAACAGTTTGGGGCAATTTTTAAATTTTTTAAAAAATGTAATAGTAAAATTTTGGGGAGCTGGTTTTAGGATTTGGAAATTTGCCAAAATATGGATAAAATTTATGAACAAACATGTATTTGCCAAAAAAAATTGGGAAAATTTGGCAAAATCTATGGCCAAACAGATCCTTAGACTTGTTAGAGATACAAGTAATTAATCTTTCCATGGCAGAGGCAGTATCTTTCCATGGGGGGTAGGCTGACCCTTATAAATAGTGTCCTAGATAGCATCCCCACCTACTACATGTCTCTCTTTCCTATTCCCTGTAAAGTGCTAAAACAGCTTGATAAGTTGAGAAGAGATTTCCTTTGGGAGGGCAACAGCACTACACCAAAGTTTCACCTTGTCAAATGGGCCAAAGTGACAAAACCTAAATCTCAAGGAGGATTAGGAATTAGAGACCTTGCTGCTCACAACAAAAGCTTGTTAATGAAATGGTTATGGAGGTATAGCCAAGACAATCAAGATCTGTGGAAAAAGATAGTTAGGGCCAAGCATGGTACTCTTAATCACTGGTACACTAAAGTATCTAGAGCCTCTCATGGTGTTGGTCCTTGGAAAAACATTAGCAACCTCTGGAATGAATTCTCTGAAAATACCTCTTTCAGAGTGGGTAACGGCAACAATATCAAATTTTGGAAGGATAAATGGCTTGGTAACTCTGTGTTAATGAATGAATATCCCAATCTTTTCAGACTAACCAGGGACAAAGACTCCATCTCAAAATACAGAGAAAATAGCAGCTGGAACCCTTTATTCAGAAGGAATGTCAACGACTGGGAACTTGAAGAACTACTGACTCTACTTGCAAGATTGGAGGAGTGCATGTTGGATACACAGTCAGCGGATAGATTAAAATGGGGGAACTCAAAGGAAGGAATTTATTCAGTGAAGGCAGGTTATACTCACCTCCATGTTCAAAATGATTTGATCAATAATTGGCCATGGAAATTGATCTGGAGAACTAAACTTCCAACGAAAGTCATATGCTTCACTTGGATAGCAACTCGGGAAGCATGTTTAACTCAGGACAATCTCATCAAAAGAAGCTTTCAAATTCCAAACAGATGCTATATGTGTAGGCAAGCTGCAGAAACCACCAATCACCTTCTTTTGCACTGTTCAGTTGTCTACGACATTTGGTGTATGTTCTACTCTATTTTTGGGCTAAGTTGGGTCATGCCACAAAGTACCAAAGAGGCGGTTGAAGTTTGGAGCTCAAGGAAAGTTGGCAAACCCATCAAGAAGATCTGGAACATGATACCAGCATGCATTTTTTGGGTAGTATGGGCAGAAAGGAATCGTAGATGTTTTGATGGTTTATCAACTTCAAACCATGCACTCAAGGCTAAATGTTTTTTATTACTCTTTAGTCGGTGCAAACTCTCCCCTGTAAATTCCCCTGAGCTTTTTTTGGATTTTGTTAGCTCCCTGGAACTATAGTTGGCCTATTCTGGAGCTAACACTCATCTTTTGTACTTATCATCTTGCATCTTCTTGATGCCATTAATGAATCTTATTACTTCATCAAAAAAAAAAAAGATACAAGTAATTAATCTTCATCAATTCCATGAGAACATGAACAAGAAGAGGCCAGCTTTACATTAAAAAGATTATGATAAGCAGTGTTACCACGAAACCTTTAAAATGGTCTTTATTTTAAAGAGTGAACTATTAGGAAATGTTCCTTCAGTCATACTGCCACAGGGATCACCTACAAAGGACCACTACCAAGAAATATGTCTCTCCCAGTAAACTTTTCTAACAGTTGTACCTTATTCTGACTCGTACACATTCTTCTGTAAAAGAATGTTTTCACGTCTAAAGTCACACAAAGATAGTGAAGCAAATAACTCTAAAGATAATCACATAGAAGCAAGCATCAATATGGCTTCACCTGAGCCATCAAAGCGATAAGAGCAACTTGGCGAATATAGCAGCTTTTTCCTCCCATATTTGGTCCAGTAACAATCTGACAATACTCTCTTTCTGCATGCAAATCTGTATCATTTGGGACAAAGTTCTCTTGTAATACTCTCTCCAAAACCTGTTCAAAGCCCTCAGTTAAAATTCAAAGGTTCAAAATATGTAATCAGGAATCATAAACACACATAAGAATGTCTTAAACAACCAATGAAAATGAAAAGGGTAAAAAGAGCATCCTAATCCTTCTTTCAATTGGCAAGGCAGCAAGCATCAAAGAGGTTATCTAATGTCATTACGGAGCACTACCAGGCAACAAATAGAAAATTTAATTTTCTATATTATTTGCAAGCCATCAGAGCATCTAGCTTAATGGTAGTTTCATACCATATAGGCCTATTAAGAAGATTCATCACTAAGAACCATAGAAGAGATTGATTTACATGAAATGTATACTTGTGGTATCCCACTCTCTTGACTTCCAAAAGGCTTAATCTACTTGACAAACTATGAGAAAGTGCTATTTTAGAAATCATAGTATATTCTTTCAACAGTTTATAGTGTTAAATCTTTTTAACATTTCTCTCTTTTTGGATGCCAAAAACAAGCTCGGGGTGGTTCTTTATGGGAATGTGATGGATGAGTTGCCAAGAGGCACAAAAATGTAATTGCCGAATGTCTTAATGTTGACAAAGGTTACTGCAGTAGCCATTTCAACACCTGAATTTCCAGGTGATATACTAATTACAGATACCTGTTTTTCATGGTAAATCAGCCAATGTGGCCCAATGACTTCAATTCTGTTTTCCATTCAGATTCACCATTTTTGCTGGAAAATATGATGGGATGCCTTCTTTTGTACTGATATTAGTCAGTAAGACGAAAATCCAGCATAATAGACTATCCTTGGGTATGTAATACAGATGAAGACATAAACAGAGTCTCATCTCTTTTTTTTGGCGGCCTACATTTACCCCACACCCCAACTCTCCTCCACGGAGTCAAATAAGTCGTTTTGGTCCCTGCTAAAGGTAAGCAAGGGACTTGCACAGCAGCCAATCCTGATCTTTGTCACTTTCGAGATCAAAGAATCATAACTTTCAGTGCACTATCAAAGCAGACACAAGACCTTCTCAAGCACAGGATATGTCATTGCGACATAGAGCTAGCCTGTATTAGTTATCCTACTCGCAAATCAAATAAAGAAACCGGTCTCTCTTCCTTGATCTAAACCAGTGACTCGAACGCCCAGTCTCAAGGTTGTAGGTGGAGGGACTTTCCACTTGAGCTACACTCTCTTGTCAGCTAAAACTAAAGTAAGTTATTTTTCAAATCACAAACAGAAGTTAAGCTGCAATATCTAAAGCAGTCTTAAAAAAGGTGAAGCTTTAATAAGTACTGTTTTTAGCACATACCGGGTGACGACCAGAGCAAATATGTATCTGAACAGCCTCATCATCTTTCACAAAAAGTGGACGGACATAATTCTGGAACAAATAATAAAGCACCATTCACATCCAATAAAACAAGTAGAAGCAAAAAGGGGGAAAACATAATATTTAACCTTATTCCTCGAAAGAATGGCAAGAGAATTTAGACAATCCAATGAAGCCAGCGCCTGCACAGCAGCTTGGAACTCAGCAAAGTATCCACCAAACCTCGTTAAAAAATTATTCCAAGCAGCTTGGCAAACGATAGTGAGCTGCTCATTTGCCAATGCTAACTCATCTAAAGCCACCAATACTTCTGGTGGATGATAGCGTATTGCTTTCTTAGTACTGTTCACTTTCACCCAGTCTGGCGGCACCTTTGTGTCTAGAGGCAGCTGCACTTGAAGCAACATCCAGTCAAAACAAAACAATACGATATAAAAGGGCATACTTCCTTGGTTTTAATATCTCACTATGGACCACAGGTTCAAGGTATGCACAAAAGATAATTACAACCTAAAGGCCTCAAACTTGGAGCCTATGCAGCACCAACAAGCTAAAATCCTTGCTCAGAAACCACAAAGCAGAAATGACACAGACATTGGAATACGGTTTTGCACTATAATGCAAATCTTGATCTGATATGTGTTTTTCTTCAAAAGTTCGTCTAGACACTTGCATCCAGGAGAATTTACATAGGGGAAAAGGCATGAGATATACATCTTTGTTAAACATGTCCGACACATGGTGGAAAAGGTGTTGGGCAGAAGAGGACTCGGACAACAAGACATGATTAACACTTGGCGCTGCTGAAGACAAGCATGGCGACCAGGAGGACCATGCTTCTTATTTTCTTGGACAATCCATAACCACATCCCCTCCCCTCTCCCCACCCAAAATAAAGATAGAAAATAAACAATAGAAAGAACCAACTCGAAAAGAAAACCAAATAAAAGGAAAAAGAGAAAACCAAATGACTATATATTTCGGTAATTAGAATAAAATAAGATGGATCATGACAGCACAGTAGAAGAGAACAACACAACAAAATATATATCTGAAACTGCAACACTTTGAATCCTGAGGTTTAGTGAACCAAGAGTGAACAAAAACAGCAATGCGAAGCAAAATATTTCCAAATTGTCAACAGCAAGAGGACGTAAAAGGACTTAATAGAAACAAATCATTGTGACTGCCCAAAGGAGTTTCAGAAAGACTCTACTAACAGTTAAAACTATTTGAAGAAAGGACTTCATGTAAGTCATCAACAGAAGCGATTAAAAATCAGGAAAAGCAAGAACAAGTCCTCACTATTTCAAGCACACTGGAAAGATTCCACAAACAGCAAATATTTTGACCAAGAGTTTGAGTTAATATTTTGAAAATAGTTAAAACCACTAAACATGAAAGGAGGATTTCAAGAAGAAAGATGGGAACATGATAACAATAAGCAAATAAAAAAGATGGGAACATGATAAAACCTTGTTCTAATTTCTTCTAGTAATGTACCTCTATCAAATGTGTAATTCCAGCTACACTCGTGTACTCCAAATTGCGGATATGAAGCTGCTTGCGATACACAACAATTAATGAGTCTAACTTCTCATTTGCCAACTCAACTCTCCTTGTACCTTCAGCAACCTGTGAACAAACTGAAATTGGTCAATGAATCAAGGTCAGGTAAGAAACATGGCACAGAAAGAGAATACAAACAAACCTCAGGGAACTTTCCGTCAGAAATGAAGAATAAATTGTGAAGATCCCGTCTGTCAGCGGCTTCCTTGTTTAAAGCAGACAAAAGCTTTGCAGCAGCATTAATAACAGTAGACGATGAGGCAATTGATATCAACTTTCTCAACAGTACTGAGCGCAAGGTCTCTCTTTGTAGATTCGTACTTTTATACTCTTCTATCCAAAGCTGCTGAAGTTGTTTTGCAGCAGTCAAGATAGCTTGAATGACTGCAATAAACTGATACAGAAGTTCCTATTAACTTTCATCTAGAAAATGATTGAGGCTGCAAAACCAATTCAAGGAACAGTATATGCTTGTTTATGGATGAGCAATAAAGCTATAGTTTCATGATCTCATGTCTAAGCATTGCAAGCTGATCGGAACATCCAACCGAAAGTTTAATATTTCCCCACCACAGGTTCCTGTCTGTAGTTACCAGAGCTTGTTGAATAAGTGAGGGAACCTTTGAAAAGTTGCATTTTGATGATCTTCCCCATCAGATCAGAGACTGTAGCATATAGTATAAAGCTAAGAAAATCTTGACCAAGTAAAAAAAAGATAAATCCCTTCACCTCAGATGCGGTAGCTTTTTTGTGAAAAATTCTTGTAATCCCCCGTTGGATATCTGGTGACCTTCCCAGAGTGGACAGAACTGAAGAAATTATATGATGTATCTCTGATTGCGAAATGGTAACATCAGCACCTTCCATCTCTAAGACAGAAGTATGAGAAGTTCGATAAGTTTTCATAGATTCTGCAATCTCTGAAACTGCGTCAAGACGAGCACCTATCATGTTTCTATCACATAAAGGATGAGTCACCTGCAAAATACAAAATTATCGATGTACTCTGTATCCATTCATATTACTATAACCCAACAAACTAGGGGCCAAAAGATCTCCATACCCAATGCCTGAGAAGCCTTGAACCAAATATGGTAAGTGTCTGATTCATACAATGCAGCAAGGAGCCAGACTCAGATCCGTCAAAATTATTCTTCAAAACCTACATCATCGGTAAAATAACAAATCTGGAAAGAATATGCCTTTGTATGTAGGGCTGTTCATTCGGATCGGATATCCGAAATCCGAACCGATCCATTCAATTTTGAATTTCGGATTTCGGATTGGATCGGATTTCGGATTATGTTTATTAAAATTTCGGATTTCGGATCGGATTTCGGATTGGTATATTTTAATCCAATCCAATCCGAAATCCGAAATTATTAGGACATGTATAAATACTACACTTTAATTTACATCAACCTCCAAGTTATTACCTTTACAATTGTTAGATTTAGCTATATTGGCACCATAGTACTCTCATAATTGCATAAACATGAATTTTTCTTAATGTATTGCCTCTTTTACAAAGAAAATATACATATTAGTTTAACTTTGAGGCATAATAATACGATCCGATATCCGATCCGATCCAAACTTTAAAATCCGATCCGATCCGATATAATTCGGATCGGATTCGGATTGCATTTTCTATACTCCGAAATTCGAATCCGAAATATGCTAAATCCGATCCGATCCGTGCACAGCCCTATTTGTATGTCTCCTGAGAGCTAAAAGACTACTGGTGGAGTAAAGTAGAGAGAATGAAAAGAAAACTTTTAAAACTCTTATCAAATTGTATACTCACTCCGTTCCAATTTATGTGAATCTATTTGAGTGGGCACGGAAATGAAAGACTTATTAAGGGTAAATGGAAAGTTTAAAGTCACATTGTTTCCAAATTTAGAAAGGGGTAATTCTTTTTTAAGCGGACTAAAAAGGAAACATGTTTACATAAATTGGATCGAAGGAGTATTATACATACATATAATCAATTTATATGTATAATGTTACAGAATGAACCTAGACACTTTATAGAATGAACATAGATTGTTTCTTAGTAGTGTACATAACTCATATATAGATAGTAGATCGGTAGGAATCTCTTTTATTTCTTTCCTTAGTTAGGACCTGATGTATATATATATATATATATGTATCACTACATGGAATAATATACCAATTTGATTCTTCCATACCTTGTTAATTACATGATATCAGAGCCATAGTTGTGGCTTCGCCGGACCAAGACTTTCCGGCAGACACGTGAGGTGCGTGTGTGGTCCATTCTTTGTCCAGCTTTGTTCTCCAAGATCAACTTGATTATTTTCGATCGATTGTTGGTTATCCTCTGATAACAGAACCTTATTTTCGTGAAGAACAGACTCAGGCAAGGTTGTATTACACCAATTTCGGTCAGGTTTGAGTTCTTGTACTGTTTGGTTTGTTTTTGGGATACTGAAGTAATCGTGAAACAATATTCTGGCATCTGATTGCTTGTTTTGTGAATTGGTATTTGTTGGGTCTTCCTTGTAAGACACTGTGTTACAATTTGAGACTTGATATTATCTGTTGGGTCTTCCATTATCAGAAACTTTGTTAGTCTATGATTTTATTTGATTTGGGGACACATTTGTTTGGTTCTCTGATTCGGTTGAGTAGATTATTGGAGTGGAGTTATGTTAAATAGATTGTTGACTTCGTGCCTACCAGAGATTTGTTTTGGTATCTTTTAGCTTTGGAGACCTCTTTTAATCTAATCGGTTTGTTATTCAAAGGAAAAAATGATGGCAAAGAATAATAATGCAACAACTCCTAATCCAACAATCTTGGTTTCGGATGAGTTTCTAATATTCCTTCAATATCATAAATCAGTTAAGGAATCCTCTTCAATTACTGCCTTTGCTGGGTCAGATAAAACATGTCTTATCACCTCTTCCAATAAATGGGTGATCGATTCAAGTGCCACAAATCACATGACAGGTAATCCAAATATTTTTTCTAGCTTTCGCTCGCATAAAGCACCCTCTCCGGTTGATGTAGCTGATGGATCAACTTGTAGCAGTGTTGGATCTGGGACTGTTAAGCCAACTTCCTCTATTACCCTGTCATCTGTATTAAGTCTACCAAACCTGGCCTTTAACTTGATTTCTGTTAGTAAAATCACCAAAGATCTTAATTGTTGTGTTGCATTCTTTCCGGATCATTGTTTGTTTCTAGATCTTACAACAAAACAGGTTATTGGTAAAGAATATTTATCTGGTAATCTCTACATCCTTGATGACTGGGAGTCACGGCCTATTGCATGCTCTAGTGTTGTGTCTCCCTTTGAAGCACATTGTCGATTGGGACACCCTTTTTTGCCTTTATTGAAGAAGCTTTGTCCTCAGGTTCAGAATATTTCTTCATTAGATTGTGAGTCATGTCGATTTGCAAAACTCCATCGCATCTCGTTAAGTCCAAGGGTTAATAAACGAGTTGAGTCAGCTTTTGAGTTAGTTCATTCTGATGTTTGGGGACCATGTCCCGTTGTTTCCAAAATTGGGCATAAGTATTTTGTCACCTTTGTAGATGATTTTTCTCAAATGACTTGGATTTACTTTATGAAGAGCCGATCTGAAGTGTTTACTCACTTTTCTGCCTTCTGTGCTGAAGTCAAAACTCAATTTAACGCTTTGGTGCGTATTTTAAGGAGTGATAATGCTAAAGAATACATGTCAGACTTATTTCAGTCGTACATGAGACAACATGGTATACTACATCAGTCTTCATGTGTTGATACACCCTCTCAAAATGGAGTTGCTGAGAGGAAAAATAGGCATCTACTAAAGACAGCTCAGGCACTTTTGTTCCAAATAAAGGTTCCTAAACAGTTCTGCGCTGATGCGGTCTCTACGGCTTGCTTTCTAATTAATCGCATGCCGTTTACTGTGCTTGGTGGTAATGTGCCTAGTGTTCCTTTTCCAAACAAGGCATTATTTCCGGTGGAACCTAAGGTATTTGGAAGCACATGTTATGTTTGAGATGTTCGACCATCTGTTACCAAGTTGGATCCCAAAGCATTGAAGTGTGTTTTCCTTGGCTATTCTCGCCTTCAGAAGGGATATCGGTGTTATTCTACTAAACTTGGCAAATATTTGGTGTCAACTGATGTGGTATTTTCAGATACTACACCATTTTTCTATGCTCCTCCCATTTCTACAAGTCAGGGGAAGGAAGATGAGTGGCTAGTATATCAGGTTACTCGTACTTTTACAGAACAACGAGATGATGTTCCTCCATATCCTAGTTCTATCGAGCACCAATCCACTATTCTGGCTTCAGCACCTGCTCCAGTTATGTTAGCAAGACCACCAATTGTTCAAGTTTACTCACGGAGGCAACAGAAGAATGATACATGTTCTACACCAGTTCCTTCCTCATTAGTTCCTTCATCATCAGATTTGCCTCCACCTGACCCTCCAGAAAACCTTGACCTTCCAATTGCTCTTCGCAAAGGTATGCGTACTTGCAAATCCACATATTCTATTGCTAATTTTGTTTCCCACGACTACTTGTCTCCTGCATCTAGATCTTTGATTGTGTCTCTAGATTCTGTTTCTATACCCAAAACGGTGAAAAAGGCTTTGAATCATCCTGGATGGTCTGAGGCAATGCTTGAGGAAATACATGCCTTAGAGAAAAACCACACTTGGGATTTAGTGGATTTATCCAGTGGAAAGAAGGCAGTGGGATGCAAGTGGGTCTTCACGGTCAAAGTTAATCCTGATGGCTATGTGGCGAGACTTAAGGCCAGACTTGTGGTTAAAGTATGCTCAAACTTATGGGGTGGATTATTAAGACACCTTCTCTCTAGTTGCCAAACTTACTTCTGTCCGCTTGTTCATTTCTCTAGCTGCTTTTGAGAATTGGCCTTTTGCATCAATTGGATATTAAGAATGCTTTTCTTCATAATGATCTCCATAAAGAGGTATATATGGAGCAACCACTTGGTTTTGTTGCTCATGGGGAGTATGGCATAGTCTGTCATTTGAAGAAATCCTTATATTGCTTGAAGCAGAGTCCCCGGGCTTGGTTTGGTAAATTTAGTGAAGCAATTAAAGAATTTGGGCTGGAAAAGAGCAAATGTGATCATTCTATCTTCTACAAGCAATAACAGCTGGATCTATTCTCCTTATTCTATATGTGGATGACATTGTTATCGCAGGGAGTGATTATGCAGGAATCTCTTCTCTCAAGTCTTTAGTCTTTCTTGCATACTGTTTCATACAAAAGACTTGGGACAACTGAAATACTTCTTGGGAGTAGAAATAACAAGAAGCAAGAAGAAAATTTTTCTATCTCAGAGAAAGTATATTCTTGACTTACTAGCAAAAACTGGTAAGTTGGCTGCCAAACCTTGCAGTACTCTAATGGTTCCTAATTTGCATCTTATGAAAGATGATGGCGACCCATTTAATGATCCAGATAGATACAGGAGGTTAGTTGGGAGATTAAACTATCTCACTATGACTCGTCCAGATATTGCTTTTGCAGTGAGCATGGTTAGCCAGTCGCGCCCACAGTTAAACATTGGGAGGCTTTGGAGCAGATCCTATGTTACTTAAAAGGAGCTTCTGGACTTGGCATACTATACGGCAATCACGGTCATTCTCGCATTGATTGTTTTGCAGATGCAGATTGGGCTTGCAGATTGGGCTGGACCAAGATTGATAGAAGATCTACTACTAGTTACAGTGTATTCGTTGGTGGAAACTTGGTATCATAGAGAAGTAAGAAACAAAATATTGTATCTAGGTCCAGTGCAGAATCTGAGTATAGAGCTATGGCACAATCAACATGTGAGATAATGTGGATACATCATTTTTTAACTGTAATTGGGTTAAAGCATCCTACTCCATCAAAATTTTGGTGTGATAATCAAGTTGCACTCCATATTGCCTCAAACCAGTGTATCATGAAAGAACCAAACATATTGAAGTTAGCAGATCTGTAGATAGCAGATCTGTAGGAATCTCTTTTATTTCTTTCCTTAGTTAGCACCTGATGTATATGTATATATATGTATCACTACATGGAATAATATACCAATTTGATTCTTCCATACCTTGTTAATAACATATAATATCCCAGCGGAGGCAAAATACATTAGGTGATTTCTTCCCATCTATCCAAGCCTTAGTGGATAGAGTTACTTGGTACCTGTTGCTGGTGGGAGGTGGCAGGTATCCCGTGTAATTAGTCAACGCGCGCGCAAGCTAGCCGGGACACCACGGTTATCAAAAAAATATATATACGTATAATATAAGCACTTTAATGATAGTTACTCAACAGTAGTTTGCTAGTTGACACTTTTTCTTATTGGTAACTTGCATCTACTCCACCCTAACCCTCTTCCCCGGGAGTCAAAAGTCTCATCACTTTGCAACCTTGGTGACACGAACCCCGGCCTACAGGTTGGAGGTGGAGAGAGCTTTCCACTTGAACTGGCTTCTTTTTC